AGGACAGAAAGCTCAGGTCAGGGGTTAACAAACACTTGCTGCTCACTTTAGCTCCACATTCAGCATTCCTCTGTTTGTGTATGTGTGTGTGTGTCCACCATTGTATTGCTTTGAACCTATATGTATACACTGTATGTTGTGCCTGCTGCTGATGTCAGCCTGGTACAGCAGGGCAGGCAGGGCCACACTCCAAATACTCCAGGCCGCAGGGAATGGTCCCTGTGATGGGAAAATGATTCACGTCACAGCCCACTTGTCTCTTCTCTCCCCCGCCCTCTCTCTCCAACCTGAAACGCATTTAATCCAGTCCAAAAACACAATTGGACACATGGGTTCCCCCTCACTATCTAACGTTGGCCGTGCAGGATAAATAAAGCATTTCAATCCCTACAAATTGCTCTCACAAAAATATAGTAGCGCAAAATTGCAATCAGATGATACGGCTATGCTATATAAATAACAAAAGGGATGACAGAAGAGCCAGGAGCTCATCAGGTCCATGACAGCTCCCATCAATCTATCAGCAATCTGGCACTGATTGGTCTGATTGGAGATCACTTTCCATCCCTGCAGCAGAATCATTTCCCACCTGGTATCTGGGTCTGTCTGACAGCCATCCACAACACTCAGGGGAGCAGATGTGGGATGAAGGATTGCCCAGATGGGTCAACACACACACACACACACGCACACACACTCATACACATGCTTTCCTCTTTGGCAAAATGTTGTAGTACTTGGCAGTAGACGCTCCATACATCCTGCTCAGGACTTTCACTGGGGTTTTACTGGTAACCATTGAGAATCATACAAGACACTTACAAACCTCTATATCCATAATACACTAATAAAGCAATGAGCACATGACAGCGTTACATCTGAAACAACCACAGACTGTATATACAGTACGTATTGGATGTAACTATGAAGGCTGGAAACTACTACTAACAAAAGGACATCTTTAGAACAAGGTGGAACATCAATAAACATCTTTTAAAAGCCACCCAGAAATTCTGCCTTTGCTGCAGTATCACCAACGGCCACAGGGGGCTAGAGAGAAAACGCACTTTCTGCCATAGACTTTAAAGCCATTGGCTGCTCAGCAGAATTTGTGGTATGAATTCCTAAGTTGAATCCCTTCACCATCTGGTTTGGTATTTTTTTGGCTTTTTATGTTTTTTGCTCCTATGTTTCTGTAGATGTGGTCTCAAAAGGTAGATCCCATGACCTGAAAGATGGCCACCATATGGTCGATTAGGTTGATTATTAAAAAATCAGGTCTTGCTAAAAATGACACAATTTGAGTTTTTTACAATCTCAACTGACAGTAAACACGATGCAATAATCTGACTAAAGAAAGAATCTTTTTGGTCCAGCTGTTAATCACAGAATGTATCCATTTGCATTGGTCCCATCATTCTTTATCGTCTATTTTCCTCTAAATGGGATTAGAAATTGTGAAAATTCTTTTTTTTTTTAATAGCACTAAGATCATGTTGAGCAACCTTTTAAAAGCTTTTTTTTTTTTTCATAACGTGGAAACCAGCAGAGCACCTCAGGTTCTTTTCAGACTCCAGATTGTGATGCCAATTTATTATATGCAGCCTATGCATGTGCCCTAGATATAATCTATCGTATGGTATTACAAGAAAAACACACACACACACTGACCTAAATGAACAAATTCTTCTCTGTAAGAACACTCCAGCACTAAATGTCATTTAACACCAAAAAAAAAATGCAGGAAACGTGAATTAAGCAAAAGATGGCATCAGAGCTTGTTCACTAATCTGGGGCTGAGATCTGAATTGCGTCTCCAGTACGTCACTCCTGCAATAGATGCAAGACAACGCTTGAAGTAATCTGAAACCTGCAATAACCAGACTAATTCAGACATATTACATTTTATATAAACGCAAATAAAAGGGGAAAAACCCCGTCTTTCAAGTCGTTGCAGAGCATGTTCAGTGCAGCCAGTCACTCTCGATTACCGAAACAGAAATCTTCATGAAGAGAATTTTTAATTCCAGCATTAGAAATAAATTGATTTCTGAACCAAAAAGCTAAGTTTGCTAATTTTGCTGTGTCTTAATGGAGCCAAGAGGTTAAAGCGTTTAAGACAGTCCTGGGTTTTCTAGCTCTTTCAGATCTCTGTGGAAATGCCAGAGGAATAACAAGTGATTCTTTTTCACAGCAAAATGCTAAGTAGGCTCCAGCCGAGAATATTTACATGCACTTAGTTTGTCTTGCCAGATAAGAAGTCAGGTCAGGTCTAAGAGCCCATTCCCAAAGGCTCCACCTGTTCCAAGGTCTTAACCATAACAAATGGAGGGCAGCGGGTGTCAAAGAGGAACTTACACACTTACACAAGTGAGGCCACACACACACACACACACACGCACACACGCTGTTCTTGCACATACAGACCTCTGGAGGAGCGGAAGTGTTTGCTGGGTGCAGTGAAGCCCCGGGTCCCATGGACATTGACTGCGGCAACTCTGAACTGGTACCATCTGGTGGCTCTGATGTCGGCCAGTTGGACGCGCTCCTCCGCAGTCTGTGGGACAGATGGGGGAAAGAGCAATCCACAGGGGTCAGGGTTCGTGTGGGGTCACAGCCCCATGTGAGTTTGCTTCCACATCAGTCATCTGCGTGTTTCTCTTTGCCAGACTTTCAAAGACAATCTGACTGTGAGGAATGTGCAACCGTGTGCAACAGCCTGTCAGAGCAGGGCTGTACTTCCCCAGCTGTAGCATGTGTTACACTGGGACACATGGGGTTTGGATGAAGTCTGATCACAACATGTCAGTGGGGCAACACTGATGCAATGAAGGCTTGGAAACTTCACACCTACACTGTTGGCTCTGTTATTTGCCCTGAAGGAGGATGTTACGTTTGTACTTACACACGTACAGTATTCATTTTTAAATTCACAGCTCAGTATTCACGCACAGTATTTGATTAACGTCGGCCTACGTAATTATTTTCAGTCAATTGTCGATTTTTTTTTGCAGCAGACGTTTCTATCTGTGCCACCAATGGTACTCTTTTATAATCTGGGATTTGATAGACACACTACTGTCCTCCTAAAAGTGTCCGGCCATTTCAGAATAACTTTGGAATATGTCCTAAAACAGGACAGAAATATTGCATGTATCATGGAATAAGGTACATTTTCCTCATGGGTTTAGAGTCTAAACCCATTAGTCTAAAGTCTAATCAATCTCTCATAATAGTAGAATAGAATATAATAGAATAGATATAGTAGAATAATACTACTACTAATACTACTAGTAATAATAATAATTATTATTATTATTATTGAGAATCTATCTCATTGGGTTGTCAAATTTAATCATGGAAGTCTACTGAGGAGAGAAAGTCCCTCTTCATCTGTGCTTGAAATAGTTCAATGTAAGGTCACAGGCTCCATAACCTCAGCTTTTACCCATAATACAATATCCCAGTGGTGGACTTTTATTTTTTTTTAAAGTCTAGAGTGTTGAAGCCTACCTGTGCAATCATTTGCCAATCGGTGGCGTCATCCTCGCTGGGATGGATGCCGTAATTCCAGCGCCGCTGCACCACGTAGAGAACGGGCTCCACGGAGATGTTAAACTTGGACGACCAGCGTATTTCCAGCTGTCCCGACTGCTGCTCCAGAAACACCAGCTCTTTCCTCGGCTTCAGTGGGACTCCTACAGCACGGGCAACAAAAGTTCACATCACCGCTACGGGAAACATTACAGGTGAAATCCAACGTGAAATCTGTTGTTTTCCACTGAACGAGTGTGAGTCAGAGAAAAGGGAACGTCATCTGAGCTGGACAGATACAGGTTTGGGAAAAATGAGACATGAGCTCACTGCAACACATTCAATACATGCTGTGGGTCAACAGCGTCATCTTTCTACTGTGACAGATTGCGATGAGTGATGTGTTATATTAGCTGTTCTCCCGCGTGATGACACACACAGTTTATATCCAGGTATGTGACAGGGCATCCATAACGTCTCGTACTCCCGCAGAGACACATTACACAAGTCCATACGTACGTCCCAGCGTATATGTGTTCACTTCATTTGCATCAACGCACTTTGACGCCACCTCCAACAGAAGACGTTCATACACATGCGATAAATTAGGAGATTTATTAAGCGCAGGATTGAGCCAAACACTCGGCCAAGCCAGGTTCGCTCGAGTGGATTTATTGCAGCGGAGACACAGTGAGCTGTTGATTGAGCTTGGGGCACGCTGATAATGAGATGGAGATTGGAAAAGTGAGTTTGGAAGTACTGTAGAAGGCTGAATACATCCCACAATTCTCGATAAATCACTTAGCAGCTCAGACAATTACGCCGGACTTCTGCTGAGCGGCCCACCACTACATATTTATAGACAGGCCGGACGCACGCTAAAGGCTGCGGCGGAGTACATCAGTCGGCAAACTAATCAACACTGTGCTCTGTATGCAAGACGCTGACGTACATGGCGTGCATCTCTATACTCAGTTGTCACAGCATGTATTTTCAAAGGACTGAAAATGCATTAAAACCAACAATATATTGGCAATAATTTACAAAAAAAAGTCTTGTAGCATGGTTGCAAGAAAATGGCTTAGTTCCAACTAGGAAAGTTAATTTATTTATTTTTGGAATGTAATTCAATTTGGTAGATTGAAAAAAAAATGGAGAATTTCACAGTGTGGGTCTCAATTCAATTTGGTAGATTGAAAAAAAAAAGAGTCCCACAATGGAGAATTTCACAGTGTGGGTCTTTGTAATCCAGACAGGAGGCACCATTAGGGAATTGTGATTCCTTGGGGGGCTCGAACCCTGGACCCTCTGTGTGTAAGGCATCTAAAAAAAAAAAAAAAAAAGACAAAAAACTGATGCTACTACTGCCACACGTGGAGGGATTTTAGCAGCAACTGCTGTCCTTTAAACTCATCACAGACTCAAGACGCTACAGCACTCGTCAGGCCACAACGGCGGTCAGCATCTGGGATGTGGTCTCATTACTAAGGCAAAATGCATAGACCTGCTTAGGCCCCATTACTGTAGTACTGCATGCAGTACTTGGTCCCATGATTGATATGCACAAAATCCTAGAAGAAAGAAACCCAAGCCACGTGCATTAGGACTCAGAGTTGGGTTTTGTGCTGCTGAAACCCACTCGGTGCATATGCCAGCTGGGGGTCATTGTACTGCGGTTTCACAGCTCCACAGCTGTGTGTGTGCGCATGCATGTGTGTGTGTGTGCGCACGAGTAACAAACGTTTGTGATTGTGTTACAGAGGAATAATTGAAGACCATGGAAACCACAGCATTCTTCTTCTTCTCCCTCTGTCTTAACTCATCCTCTAAAACACACACACACACACACTCTCTCTCTCCTGCAATATGTGGGAGGAAAAGAATACACTCTTCTCTCATCCAACCGTCTCCAAGGAAAGCTTTTGGTTCAGATTAGGTCCAAGAATCCTACTGCGTTCCCTTTTCACTGGCTACACACGCGTACTCCAGAACATGATGTAACTGCTGCGAAAGTACAACCGAGAGAACGCCGTCCGTTCTTGTCGTAATCACGCCAACAATTACGCTGGGATAATATAATTGTTAAAGCTCACGCACATACTGTCATGAAAAGTATTCTAATTACAGGGGGCGAGGAACACACTACAAATACTGATTAGGGTAAAACGAGGCTGACTGACGGACTAATTAACGGACTTGTTGTGACAGTTTGAACGTGAACTCGTGCTTCTCACCTACCTTTTACACATGCTCAGGTTACTTTAACAACAACGGACTCTGTTGGGGTTTTTTTGTTTTGTTTTTTTTTTCTTGATTTTTCAGAATACAGTGTGGGACGCAGTTAGAGAAATCAAAAGAAGCTGAGCTGCGTGACATGTGGTTCTGTTTGAAAGGAAGAAGAAAGAACATGAGATAAAGATGCAAAAAAAAAATAATGGAAGACATTAAACCCCCCCAATCAGTCTCAGGAATGCAATCACTTAGTTGCATTTTGTTGCCATTTTTAGAGTCAATGAAGAAAAATTCATGACTAGATCCACATTAGCTGGGATGGTTTGACTGGAATCAACTTTATCCTGGTTTATCCAGTGCCACGCTGCATTTGCAGGGTAGATTGTGCTGCTTTAAGTGTAAAAGCAGTTTCCCAAACTTTTTTCTGGGGATCCATATTTTAAAAGTCTCAAACCTTCATGACCGAAGTCAATAGACATTATTCATGAACTCCTGGGAAACATGATGCAAGACGACCCAAAAAAAACCCTTTTGTGACCCACCTGAGGGTCATGACCTAGTCTTTGGCAAACAATATGTTAGAGCACAGACGGCAGTGGCGGTGTTACAGTAGACATGTTACTCTTTTCATGTTCTCGTCAAGCTTTTTATGAAAGATATGAGCGCGTGAACAACGGCTTCGAACATCCATCCATGCATTCATTCATTCATTCATCCCCCACTTAATCCTTTTCCCGGGTCGTAGGCTGAGCTCAGGCCAATCAGTTCTCAACTCACAAATCACACACACACAAAATAAATACCAATATCCCACATTTGTGTAGGCACCTGCTTCTGTGAAAAAGAAGGTTCTGTAAATGCAGGGTGTAATACTCGACCTTATAATGAGAACCTTGGGAATATCTCCTGCACTGTTCATATGTTTCTGCTTTTGTTTATCTGGTTTAGTAGATAGTGATGGTGAATCCTTATTCCTGTAAAGGGGCTAGTTGGCTTTGTCAAATTTTCCTTGAATTATTCCTAAAACTAAACAGCACATTTTCATTAGCGAGGGAATGAATCAGTGATATAGTTCAGATGGAAAAAATCTGATTCTGTTGCACAACATCGAGCTCTTCCTTTGTCCTCCGGACTATGGTGCTTTAATTGGAAGCAAAGGAGATTCCAGAAAAAGTTGGTTGATTTCAATCACCTCCGCAAATCCAGTTGTTATCCCGACTGCACGGTGTTGTCAGCGGTGGTACTGTACCAGTGTCTGCTCTGGTGATGTTCAGAGAAATGACAGACTTGGCTTTGTTGTCGCCCAGAGGAGTTCTGGTGTCTCAATGATCTTGAACAACCGCCGTCTCTGCCTGTCAGGGACACACACACGCACCCTGGACATCTCAACCTGAACACACACACACACATCTGAGAGTGATCTCTGTGGGGGGAAACGCTCCATTTCTCTCCGCTTGTGTCTGCTAATGGCTTCCAGCATAGTGGCTCATCACAGCAAAGACGACACACACTCACACACCCGTGCACACACAGAAACAATTACACCCTTCAAAACCATGAGCAACTAATTAGACCTTTAACACCGAGGGCCAGTTCATGGAATTCCATCTGGACTTCCATCAAAACGCTGAGTGTAATTCGGCGTAAATACAGTGACCTGTCAGACGCTCAAACTTTAAACTAAATCAGCAAACACACGGCTGGACACCGAAGGTCCCGCCGCGGCCAATCGTTCCCACCGACTGGGTGGCTGGGTAGAAATCCTCAAGGTTACGACTCCTTTCATCATTCCCAGATTAACATTCTGTTCACCTCTGGAGAACAGCATCCACCGTGACGTCCCAGTGGATTTTTCTCAGATCAAAAATAAATACCTGCTGCACACTGCTCTGCGCGCTGCAGCTCAAGTTCACATGTCGCATGCTCTCTGTGCTCCTCGCTGGTAAACAGAGTGAAACATGCGTAGACTCCCTGCAGAGTGATTCAGAGCAGACGCAGCCACAGTCACTTCAAAGCTTTGATTCAGACACACTGCTCTTCTTCATCACTTCAGCATCTCCTCAGCTTTGTTATGGCCCCGGGCTGCCCGGCAATTGTGCGCTGATAGTGAATGTAATGTGGTTCTCAGCTCCAACTTCAGGGGCAGTTGGTTCTCTCACATAATGACTGAGAACACTGAGCCGCCGTGAGCTGTGCCATTAAAGTGTTTTACTGGAGCGAGGACTCTCGGGTACATCTGTGTCTGTGAAACATTCGAGCATATCCAGACGAACTGCAGACCGGGGGTGCGTTCCCATTCGAGGCAGAAACAGCATCGAAAATGTGAAGGTTGAGGACAAAGTTAAAAAAAAAAAGAAAAAGTCTACTGATTCTTGACGGCCTGTCAAACAACTCACAATCTGTAATCTTTGTGATGAACAAAGATTAAAGTCAATGTTTCAGAAAAGCAGATCAACTGCAAAGTAAAAAAACCCAAAACATAATCGTCTATAAAGATGCTTGTGTTGGACTGGTATCAAATATAAATGTTGAATCCAGGATTTGTCTGACAAACCGTGTTAATCCAATTCAGCTTGAAAAGAATTCTGGGCAATAATTGAATCAGGAATTGGGTGTGTTGTCTGCACAGTAACAATCAGTAACCACCGAATAAGTCAAAAAGCATTTTCCTGGGATTTTCATAACATGACACCAAAGTAATGTTGACAATAAAAGAAACGGTCCAACAAAAAACATGATCTGAGGCTTAGGCATGAATAAAAGATTATACAGCTTCATTGGAAGAGCTGGAACCGATGTTCCTTAATAGAAATTTAAAGTGGAAAAAGCGCCGCTACTATCCTGATTTCATCGGTTATCAACTCAGTTGTAAAGGTTGGATTTGTTGAAGATTTTTCACTGTTTTGGACGACAGACTGAGGGGGGACAAAGGGCTTGACTTTATTAAACATTTTTCCACGCTCAGATTATTAAAATTCCAACACACTGTCCATCAAGACAGCAATTTTGAAATCAGGCACAGGACAAATTGGATGGTTCGGTGGGCCAGATTCAGTCCACGAGCCAACATTTGAATATCACTGCTGTTCTGTGTACATGTGCCATAGTCTTAAAAGATGGATATGTATAATCATCAAAGTTATTTTTATTATTTTTTACAATTGTTTACTTAAACATATAACCTTCTATACACTGACCTCATTACTATTATTATTATTATTTACTTAAACATATAACCTTCTATACACAGACCTCATTACTATTATTATTATTATCACGGCGATGACATCATCATCATCATCTCATCGCTTTGAGCTTGTGTTTATAGATTGTTTTCAGCTTCATGGTGAGTTTATTAACTTCTTTTGTTCTCTTCTTGACTCTGAGCCTATGATAAAACTGACTCAAAATTCAAACCGTCACTTTATAAATGTGTGCTTTGTGTAACAAAAGCGATCAAAAGGTGCCGCGCACTCCGTGTACCCTGACGTCTTCTGCAGTGACTCAGCCTTGGCGAGGATGTTTGTATAATAAGATTCATTTACAGAATTAGATTTGCACCAAACAATGACGCTGGAGGTCACACAGTGATTCAGCGGTTAGCGCTCCTGCCTTGAAGTGAGCCGATCACTTGTAGCGCTAACAAATGGAGTTAGCGCCTTGTACGAATGGGAGTTAATTAGCTCGTCTAACTGAACATAGGTGTGAATGAGGCTGTGAATGGATGTTTGTCTCTGCACAGTGAGTGGCCCTGGACAGACCAGTGATTGGTCCAGTGTGTAACCAGCTCAGACTGGCTGCAGTTCAACTTGGGATCGTGAACCACATGCCTTGTGTAACTTAACATCCCCTGTATAAAATAACAGTATTTCCTGTGCAGCGGTGTTGAACTGGCCGTCCATCATCTTTACCTTTGTAGAGGTTCTTGGGCACCTGGCAGGTGTGTCCGCAGCCATTGGAGCAGCACTTCTTGACCCCTGAACACTCCCCGTCCTCCTCGCAGCTCTCCACACAGGCTGCAGCGAAGCCGCTGGCCTTCTCGGGGGCAGGACAGTCGCCCTGCTTCACCCCCTCCACCGATTTCAGGAACTCACAGCTCGTGAGACACTCGTAGTGCTTTTTAGGAAAGAGGGGCTAAAGAGTGTAGGGGAGGGGGTTGATGACAGGGTAGAAAGAAGTGAGGTGAGGGAGGAGGGGAGGAGAAAAAAATGACATGTCAGATACTTTTAGGAACAGGCGTCGCTGCTGCAGAGAGACAGTTCTGTGACCTAACAGGGATTGTCCCCTTTACATTTCAGCCGGTGACTCACTGCAGTGTTGAGTACAGTAAACAGCTTTGATTTATCCTCATGGAGAGTGGACCATTATAGAGTTACCAGGGAGCGTTACCTCACACTCCTTTTAAACTTTCCCCTTATTGAATTTTCCCTCTTAGTCAGAAAAAGCTCAAAACACTCGGAGTCTCAGGCAACCACAGCGTCGGGGCCGGTGACATACCTCACATAAATCCTGGCACTGGTTTTCCTTCAGGTCCCAGGATTCCTTGCAAGGCTCCAGGCACTGTGAAAAGGAGAAGGGTGTCAGTTCTTCAAAGGGTCGACCACATCAAAGGGGGCGACGGTGTACAGATGATGCCTTTCTGTGGCCCGCTGGCCTGATGACAAGGACCTCTCTCGGCCACTTCACCTCCACCTTCACAACAGCTTGTCACACTTTTTGTTACACTGCCAGAGCCACTGACATGTGAGGGCCCCCACAAGAGAAAACACAGGACAAAGGAGGTCCATTGTAGCAGACGGCCCTGACACTTGGCTTGGAATAATATATCTTAAAATGTTTAGATTCAGCCTTGGTCAGGCCTTGAGATTCCCCACTTCATTCCTTAAAAATACCACGTCATCCTGCCACATCCCTCTCCCTCTCCCCCTCTCTCTCTCTCTCTCTCTCATGCCTGTGCCTGATACACTCTGGCACTGACACTGAACACCCCCGCCCCCTCGCTTTACCACACCGAACAGGGAGAGCTTAATAAATGATACACTTGGTTTACTGTTCTTGGGATTCCCTTTTTAACACGTGGAACAAATTTACTCAGTGCTTGGCACAGGCGTGGGAGAAAAGAAAACCCTGTTTCAAAAAGTCCTTTTCAGCCAATGATAATAAGGTGATGAATTTTTCAATGAAGGTTCAGAGATCTTGTAAAAAAAAAAACTTGCTTTAGATGCAACAATTCGACCAAAATTAATTACAAAAAAAATGCAATGCAACAGTCAATGGAATGATCCAAAGACAACAGGCAGATGTTGTCCCAGGATCAGGGACTGTAATGAGCCGGGGTTCTTGTTGCTGGCGGCTGTGAGCTGGTGTGAAAGAGAAGAGCAGGTTCAGTCGAGCAGGCGATCCTCTGCCAGGCTGCTTCTGTGCTGGTCTGGGAACAGCCCAAACCGCACCAAGCACGGACCTGCCAAAGCCACACGTTCAACTTAGTTTCATTTGACTCCAGACTCCTGCACCAGCTGCAGCTTTAACGACTGGTACATTTCTGACATATTCAGCATTATTTATTATACGGCACGAATCGATGTGTGGGTTTGTGGGACCGAGAGATGCAACATCTGTGGAGGTGTGAGGGAGAAGAGACTTTTATCAAACTAAACCAAACTTGAACCAATGACTGAATTTGTGCCCCCCCCCCCCCACCCAAAAAACAGGGGGGGGGGGGGGGGGGGGGCACAGCTGTATTTATGCAAACTAATTCACTTATTATACAGCTCTATAATTATCATTATTATTATTATGCCATTAGTCAGTGAAACATTTATTGGCATTTTATGGCGTGCAGAGGACGGGTGAAAAATGAAACATAAACTTCACTTCTTGAAGAACAATTACAACCATGCACAGACCTGCCAAAACCTAATAACACTCAGCCTCATCTCTACGCATTCCCCAGCCGCCGCTCAGATAGACTGGATCCCTGTGTGTGGGAGTAGACCTGGGATAAAATTATATATAATAATTTGGCTATTTGTGCTACATTAAAAGTAGAAAAAAGAAGAAATGCATTTTAAAAAAATAAATCTCAAGATCACAGAGTACTGTTGACACATGTATCACATAAGACCTCCCTGTTATGGCTGCTACTGGTATAAAATCTCGTTTGAACAAATTTAATGTGACATAAAAAAGACCTGGAGCGTCACGTGCTGTGCATGCTAATGCTACTGTAGTATGAGAATAAGGAAGGTTGGGAAAGGACGTTTTCTTAATTACTCACAGTAATATAGATATCACTCCTCCGATGAGTTATAAAGTGTCTGTGGGTATATATAAAAACAGACCCCCCGGAGGAGAAGCACAGAGCTGTGACAGATGAAAGCACCAAAAGAAACTAATGTAGTTTCTACACAGCCGATCAGGTGAAACACCTCGGAGATTTAAGATGACACATGAGAGCAATTGTATCGTCCAAGATGGGCCTGGTCGTCGAGGGAGTCTATCCAAGTTCCATCATCATCTGCTATTAATAATACTGTGACCTTAAATCATTCATTCTCCTCTCAGTTGTGTCCTTTGAGATTAAAGCCTGCGGTGACGACAGGCAGTAGCAGCGGCAACATCAGCACCGCGGCCTCTGTGCGGGAACAATGAAGTCCTGGGGCAATAATATGTGACTGGAGGACACTGCTGGTCCACACACATGTTAGTGCCCCCCCCCAAATCCCTTCTACAAATCACTTAACATACACACATAAGCCCCTGGATCAGGCTTATTTCCCTCATTGAAAGATCCTGTGTGCACAGACTGAATGCATTCCACTGGCTTTTCATGAGGATGAGCCCCCTTTTTTTTTTCCTCCGCTCTAATAGAATCGCAACTATAAAAGTGAAAACAGAATCATTGTTACCCTTGAGATGCTCGGGCTTGCATGCCAAGCAGCATGAATTGACACAGCACATTGTGTCCAAAGGATTTTGCAACACAAATCACAATCCTGGCTGCGCGTCGAGTGCTGTCTCGACCGCAGAGTATCTGTTATTCCTTTTCATTACCGTTTTAAGAAAAAGAGAATATTTTTAACTGCGGGAAGCGTGTTAAAGCAGCAGCAGGTTGGTTCGGCTGTGCTAAATGGACAGGTATTTCGTAACCGTCACTATTTTTGGACGATGAGTGTGTTCGTGGAGGCAGAGAGCCCTGCAGGTGTGCTGAAAGCTGACGATCTGTCATTGTCTCTCCCCGGGACACACCCACAACCTGACATTGAGGCAGGGAAGAGTAGAACTGACGACAGAAGTCCTGCCAAAGCAAATAGGATGACTGGATATAATTACAAAGGTGCTTTCATCAATCAAAGCCCCTGTTTCTATTTACACAGTTTGGTGCTTCATCTAAAACCAGAGAAGTGGCGCTGCCAAAGAAAACTAAGAGAGAGCGCCGTGATATTTTTCTATTATAGCTCTTGTGCAACTTCTTTTGGGGAGCAGCCATTTTGACCCTATACAGCTCCACACCCTTATCACCCTGAGTAATGTGCATCAGTTCCTTTAAAGCGTGGACCTCAGAGAAAGTGAAATTACACCAATTAGGAGCTGCTCATGTCAAAGTAGTGAAAGCAGTGCGGCTTCCAATCCAAATATTAAACTTACAGCGAGTATAAATCTCCATTTTTATCAATAGGAACAAGTTCTTAGATAGTCACAATATAAACGGCATCTCCAGAGGCGTGCAGTGGTCGTACATCAGCACGTCCATGGTAATGTCCGACCTCTGGGACCTTATCTTAGAACACGCAGCATGGAACATGAGTGGAGAACATTGCTGATCAGGACAGTGCCAGATATGGGTGCCAACATCTGGTCTCCCTGCAGGAGATCTCATGCTGGTGACTCAGCTACCATCTGTCTCAATCAGCCGTGTCCATGCTCTGGCCTGAGGGCCAAACGTGGCTCTTGGACTGGTTTCATGTGTCTCAGAGTTCTTGTTTTTGTCTTATGTCTCTTGATCAGAGTAGTCACTCCCTTTGACCAGGGTGTGTTTTCATTCACTCCACTTCTAATGCTAATATACTTTTCATGGTTGCTGGGAATAGGGGGCGGGGTCCAATAATGGACTACAACCTGGATCCCATGGCCAAGGATGGGTTTTTATGGATGAATTTTTGATCATACCTGAAGCTGTTCCCTCTTATGGTCTGTTACTTTTCCCTGACTTTTTTTTTTACAATATTTATATTTTCTTTTAAACTTTTTACCTTATATTTCCCCATAAATACCATATGTTTTAGGAGGCCTAAGGCTAACAAAGCATTTTCTGGGATGAAGGCAATCACTTCGACCTGTGTTTTTACTGGCAGTGCTTCCCAGAGCCTAATGAGTGAAGAATGGGTGGTTGGCCTACTGTGGTACGTACTTCAGTGATGAAGATCTCAGTGATTGCTAACTATTCCTTATGTTATCAAACCTGAAATATATGAAAGCATTTATTAGCAGTGTATTCAGGATAGGATTATTTAACCAAGCACTAAATTAACTTAATTAAAATTAGTTCTGGTCTTAAAGTATCATAATGGAGCAGTTGGTCTTTGGCACCTATGGTCTAAGAAGTACAAGGAATCCAATCGATGGCCAGTCTTTAATTATAAGAAATTGCCAAAATCACCTCCTTCCTGAATGGCAGGCAGGACGGAGGCATGTACCTGAGATTTACGAGTGATAAAGTTACATGAGTGCAAATCAACTTTGGGCCATTAAGGAGATAGATGAACTGGAATGTCATGGAAACGACGACTGGATGATGTGTTCACCACATGTTGGAAATAGGAAATCATCTGCTAGAGCTGTCAGACTATTGATTTTTTTCTTGACGCATAAATGAATGAATCCATTACTGTATCAGACATTTATTATGATGCTGCGTCAAAACATATTTCATGAACTGGAACATGTTCCCCTCATTACCCTGCACTCCACTTATGTAACCACTGAATTACCTTAAAAGTCCATAAAATGTAACAAAACCAGACAGAAAATGTGCTCCTGTTGATTGGCTGTTCTGGTCACCGCAGCAACAAACTTTAATTGGTCTAACATTTCCTGCCGGGAGGAGGTCAAGAATTTTTTATCTAGATATTTTTTGATTTATTTTTAGATTTTTTAGCATTTTTTTCCTCTTTAGTTTAGTTGTAATGTTTGCAGAAAGTCATGAAATATGTAGATTAGATTAGATTAAATTAGATTAGATTAAATTGAATTAGATTAGATCAGATTAGATTAGATTGAACTTTATTGATCCCACACAGAAGAAATAAAAGAAGAAATAAAAAAAATGTTATTGATCCCACACAGAAGAAATAAAAAAAATTGTACTATCAGTCACAGTTCACAGTGCGGTCATGAATCACCAACATATATTAAATTACAGTATAACAAGACCCAACGACACACACTGTCAAATACGCCACAAACAAACCATTTCACCACTTGGCCCAACAGTGTCCCTCGTAAACACTGTCTTGTTATGGAGAATTATCACGACAGAAAAGGTGAAAAGGTGAAAAATG